CCAGATGAAGGGACGTAAGTTGGGCCTGCCTGGGACTCCTTCCCTTCTCTTTAACATTCTTACATTGCTCCTGGGGGTGGGACTGCTGGCCAGGAAGCATGACCAGGAGGGTCCTGTGTTCTACCCCTTCTTAGTGACTTACCCCTTGCCCTAGGGCTCTGTGGATGCTTACTGTCCTCTCCGTGGGCTCCCGTCTGTGGTCTTACAGAGGAGTGCTGGGATTGGTACTGACCAGGGAATGAATGACCTTGGTTCTCCCCACACCCCTAGTCAGAAGCTGGGCTGTTCCAAGCATGGACTTAGGATCCTAGAAAGGGTAAAACCCTTTACCTTCAAAGGCTTCTTCCTGATGTTTCTGAACCCCAAATCCAGAAAGCAGACATTTAAATCTGAAAAAGTATAATGGGTTGGGTGTGGTGGTGTACACCCGAAATTCTAGCTCACAGTTTGAGGCTGGAGAACTATGAGCTTGAGGTTAGCCTGGGCTACACAAAAAAAGTGTGTATGTGTGGGGGACCATAATGACATTGAATGGGCTTTTGTTTTACATCAGGCTTTGTTCTAAGTATTTGATTTATGCTATCTCTATTTCTAGGCACCACTTGAGGAAGCACTCTGGCACATTCATTCCGATTTCAAAGATGAGAAAACTGAGGCACGGCACATAGGTGATATGCCCAAAGCCAGATTTAAGTCCAGAAAGTTTGACTGTACAGAACCACTGTACATGGCCTTCTTTAGTCCTGACACTTTTGTGCCATTTAAAAAGAATTCAGATGTTATTTTGATATTTATAATGGGGAAAGGCTAGCACTGAATGCTTCAGATTCCCTGCCCCCCGACCTTATCCAGCTCTCTCATTTTTATTTATATATATATGTGCCTGTATGAGTAAATGCCACATGTGCACAGGTGTCTTTGGAGGTCAGAAGAGGGTGTTGGATCCCCTGGGGCTGGAATTACAGGCAGTTGTGAGCAGCCATGTGGGTGCTGGGAACTGAACTCAGGTCCTCTGGAAGAGCAGTGAGCAGCGAGCACTCTTAATGGCTGAGCCCTTTCTGCAGCTGCAGACTTTACCTATTTTGAGCTGATTGCTTAGAAGGACCTGGGGATTTTACCTCTGGCTCCCCTCACTGCATTTACAACGTGCTTGATCTGGTTCAGTGTCCTGGCCAAGGCCTTACTCTTACTCTGCCTAGGCCTGGCCTCCAGCCTCTAGCCTTGGCGTGAGTTCTAGTGCTGACAGCTCAAGCTTCAGTCATGTGGTGTTGGGACCTCCCGGGCCCTGCTGTCGGGTGGTGGTGGGTGGATGGGGTCTGACACAGCCCATCCTCCCACCCCTGCATGCCAGCAGAGGCAGCTGCTCCTGGCACGAGGATCACAAAGCCAGTTCACACCGTTTGCCTCGCCTCCTCGCCTGGCTCGGGCTCCCTCCCGACAGCCCCAGGCTGGCGGCAGATGGCTCAGCCTCTCAATTGCAGAGGAGGCTCTGCCACATCAAAAGCAGTTTTGACTTTGGACTTTAGAGGCTGAGGGGCAGGTATCTTAGGGAGGGACTAGAATTGATGAAACATCTCTGAACTCGCTGCCCAGGAGGAGTCCGGGTTGGGGAAGCTGCCTGCTCCAATTCGAGGGGACTTTTGAGGCAAGCCATCTTTGGCCTCAACACTTCGTGTAAACAATGGGGACAACAGTCTTTGAGGAAGTGGGGGAATGAGAGTGCAAACTTAAGAGTGCAAACTTAATTCATGTGTGCCACTATCAAACCAGTGATGGAGCCGTGGGCACATTATCCACTCAACAAGTATCCATTGCGTCTGCACAGTGTTTACTGCTGTCTGAGGAGTCGAGCAAAGCTACAAAGTCAAACTTTAACTCTCTGAGCCTTTCTGTATGTATTAGTCCCCCTTTTCATGACTTGACTTTCCTGCAGTTTCACTTATGTGAGGTATCTGGTGTGGGGGCACACTCTTGTAATTCCAGAACTTAGAAGGCTGAGGGTGGCGATGTGATATTCTGAAAATCTCTCTTCCATTCTCAGAGACTGGAACTTTTGCTGGACTGCCTTGGATTTCTCATGCAATCAACTTTTACAACCTAAGCTAACGCATAGCTGCAATTTTAAGTTATGTACTGTTCCGTGCCTCTGACCTAGAGGAATGTATGTGTATCATGTGCTGAAAGCAGCAGATACACAAGTTGAAAGCAACTGCCTAAAAGCTACCATAAAAGTTGAAAGCACCCATTATGGACATTGGTTGGTAAACAATGATGTTTGTTTTCTGTGTCAGTTGGGATTAGTTGGAGTCAGTGACTTAATCCTTTGTAAAATTCCATTAAAGATTTCTGTAAAGTATCCCATTCCTTCCCCATGGGAGGCTTCCTGTGCTGTTCAATGAAAACAGATATAACATAAAGCCCTTTGTTAGGGACAGACACACCACTCCCAGACAGAACACACGCACACAATCACACAGACAACCACACACTCAATCACATAATCACATGATCACACAATCACACACACACAATCACAGGATCACACAGACAGACACACAGACAAACACCACTCACAGACAGACGCAGCTCATATAACAGATGGACAGACATGTACAGACAAAGAGACAAGGAGATTCACAAAACCTCCTACAGGCAGGCACAGATTCAGGCCCCTGGAACAGAGGACAGAAGACACAGAAAGTATGAATCAGAGGATTCAAACCTGGACTCACTCTTGGTTAAACGACTCTGAGGGGAAGTGTTTTTATTTCTTTCCTTAATGGGACACCTATGAATCATGGTTGACTTAGAGTAAATCACTAATGCATAGAGTCTGTGGAGGTGAGGATGGAAGGTCAGGAATGCAGGGTCAGCCTCTTTGACATAGCAAGTTTGAGACCAGCCAGGACTCCATGAGACCCTGTCTTAAAAAACAAAACCCAGGGCTGGAGAGATGGCTCAGTGGTTAAGAGCACTGGCTGTTCTTCCAGAAGTCCTGAGTTCAATTCCCAGCACCCACATGGTGGCTCCCAACCATCTATTGTGAGATCTGGTGCCCTCTTCTGGTGTGCAGACGTACATGCAGGCAGAACACTGTGTATGTAATAAATAAACAAATTGTTTAAAAAAAAAAACAAAAAAAACCCAAACCAAACTAAAAACAACCAGAACCCACAGCAAGACAACTAAGAGTTATTTAAAATTTATTCATTTTCAGTGTGTGTGTGTGTGTGTGTGTGTGTGTGTTACCTGTAGAGTCTAGAGGCACTGGATCCCCTGGAGCTGGACTTACAGGTGGCTGTGAACTTCCTTGATATGGGTGCTGGGATTTGAACTCAGGTCCTCTGCAAGAATAGCAGGCTCTCTTAACCACTGAGCCATCTGTCTCTCCAGTCCCTGAAGAATTAATTCTTACAAGCTTTAAGGTGGGTACTATTATTCTCCCTATTTTAAAGGTGTCAAAAAGTGAGACACAAAGAGACTGAGTAGTTTGTGCAAGGTCACACCGTTGGTGGATTCCCGCTTCCGGACCTGAACGCCTAAGTAGAGTTCTGTAGTTTGCGTACTTAAACCTAAATTGTTCTATGTGTGATTGAACCTGACCTAAGAGATGTACTGTCCACATGGAGGAGAGCCTATGGATCAACTACAAGACAGGAGATGTAGCTCAGCTTGCAGAGTTGCCTAGCATGCACAAAACCCTAGGTTGCATCCTCAGCACTGAAGAGACCGGGTGCGGTGCATGCCTATAATCCCAGCCCTGGGAGGTGGAGGCAATTGGATCAGGAGTTCAAGGTCATCCTCCAGTTCAAGACCAGCCTGGGATAGAGAGACCTTGTCTCAGAAACCAAAACCAACCTGATTACGTATACATACACAGATTGCTTGTGAATATATACATCCCTACATATGTATACATGTGTACATGTCTAATATATTTTAGTTTACAAAGGGTTGGTATCACATGAACACCCTGGGGTGGGAGATTAACTGGGAGAGAGAGCCTGCTGTGGGATGGTCTGTATGTCAAATGTGTTGCTGATTGGTCAATAAATAAATCACTGATTGGCCCGTGGCCAGGCAGGAAGTATAGGCGGGACAAGGAGGAGAATAGAGCTGGGAAGTGGAAGGCTGAGTCAGGAAGACACTGCCAGCCGCCATCAGGACAAGGAAGATGTAAAGTACCGGTAAGCCACGAGTCATGTGGCAAGGTATAGATTAATAGAAATGGATTAATTTTTTTTTTTTTTTTTTGGTTTTTCGAGACAGGGTTTCTCTGTGTAGCTTTGCGCCTTTCCTGGAACTCGCTTTGGAGACCAGGCTGGCCTCGAACTCACAGAGATCCGCCTGGCTCTGCCTCCCGAGTGCTGGGATTAAAGGCGTGCGCCACCACCGCCCGGCGAAATGGATTAATTTAAGCTGTAAGAACAGTTAGCAAGAAGCCTGCCACGGCCATACAGTTTGTAAGCAATATAAGTCTCTGTGTTTGCTTGGTCGGGTCTGAAAGGCTGTGGGACTGGTGGGTGAGAGAGATTTGTCCTGACTGTGGGCCAGGCAGGAAAACTCTAGCTACAAGAGCCCTCTTAGACCATAGTGTTATAGTAGTCAGGTCTTTGGGGTAGCCCATTTTTCAGATGACTATAGTGAGGCTTTGAGAGGTCAAACAGGGAGTCAGAAAGGACTCTGATTCAGGGAACTGGCCTCTGTTAGCTGTATCCTTGACCCCTGCTCTGAGACTTACTGTACAGACTTTGTTCAGGAATAATGATTCCTGCCCATCACAGGGCTTGGGGTGAATGTAATCTCCTCATGGACCTGACTGGCTCTTTGTGCTGAGGCACTGGGAGGAAAATGCCTTTGTCTACGCCTCTCTTCTTGCCAGCATTCAGAGTCTGGTGTGTGCACATGTGTAGTGTGTGTGCACCCTAGTGGTGTGTGTGTGTGTGTGTGTGTGTGTGTGTGTGTGTGTGTGTGTGTTTGTGAGTGCGCGTGCGTGCACGCATGCTCATTCCCCTGCTCACTCATGTGTGATGGTGTGTCTGTCTCCTTCCCTCCCTGCAGCCTCCTGCTCACACAGATCATCTTGACCTTTCATTAGGTCACTTCATAATTGATGGAAATGTCCCAGGTACCTTCTCTTAACTCCAGGGTGATTATGACAATTATGATGATTATCAAGTAAAAGAGGAGAGAGAGAGAGAGAGAGAGAGAGAGAGAGAGAGAGAGAGAGAGAGAGGAGGGGGCTGAGGACTGGGGGGCTGGGAATTGCTGGAGAGCCAGGCAATGCTGTCATTAAGGGACATTGTGTGAGATGGTTCCCCTTCAAAAGGCAGCTGTGAAAAGGAGAGAGTGTCTTTTTTTTTTTTTTAAAGGCCCATTATGCAGGCAGCATGGGGTGCATAGTGCTGGCGGGAGGGACCGTGGGGTGTAATTAGGCCAGTGACAGCTAGAATTACACAGTTGTCTCTGCTAAGGTGCCACCTCTCTTGGGTGGGTGGGGGGGATGAGACAGGAACAGGTAATGGCTGGGAAGTTCTGGACCCTTGCCAAGAGTGCAAGGCCCTTTGGTGAGCCGGGATGACCTGGGGTTGAGCAGAAGGGACAGGGGGAGTGGGGGAGTGCTAGGCTACCACAGCTATTTATTTCTGGATCAGCGAGGAGGCCTCTGATTTTTGGAAGTCTTTTATGATGCTTACCGCCCCTTCCAGGCTTTTCCAGCATTCTCGCCCTGACAGGGAGTTGGCAAAGGAGAGGCAATTGTGTGGAAAGAGGAGGCGGATAAATCACTTCCCAGCCTCCCAGCTCAGGGGCCCCTGGCTCACCAGCAGGAGGGCAGCTTCAGCTCCTGGCTGGTATGTACAGAACTGTTTTCTGCCTCCCTGGTCCACACCACACTGTTGGCCCGGCAGACAGAAGTACCTGTTACTCCAGTCCTTTCTAGTCTACAGCAGAATGACTAGTGACTCAGTTTCCCCTTTTTGCTTCTGACCGAGGGCTTTCCTTGGACCTCAGCCTCTCTTTTCATCCGCCCCCCCCCCCCCAAGCTGTCTGGGATTAAATCCTGTCATTTAATGTCAGCTCGAATTTGGTGCTGACTTCTTTGTGCCCTAGTTTGGTTTGCCCACCTGGGACTCGAGGATTCTAATTGTCCTTGTGTGTCTGGGCTGCTGTGAGAATTACAGAAAACTCTGCACATAGATAATTTAGCTCACACATAGATGATTTAACTCACACAGTGAGGCCACAGGGACATGTCCTTTTCTTTTACTTTCAAAGCAGGCTCTCACTGTGTGACCGGGGATGGATGCAGACTGGTGATCCGCCTGTCTCACCTTTTGGAGTGCCAGAACCACCTTGTATACTCCAAAAGGTAAATTTTCCTTGAGGCCAGTCCCCATGAATGTTCTGTGAAGATGGTCCTTTACTGTCTCGAGCAATGAGGAATGGGGAATCAGGCTAGAGGCAGGCAGCTGATCCTGATCCCCTCCAGGAATCCGGATTTGGCCTCCCAGGGATGCTTACCTGAGTTTTCATTAATTCCTGCTTTCACTGTGTGTGTACCCAGTGCCCATGGCATGCCAGTTGTTACATGGGGCATGGCCATGCCTGCAGAGTTGTTGAGGGAATCCTAGGCCCCTTGAGCCTGTCTTGTCCAGAGCCTTGTTCCCCTCTGTCTAGATATTTAGGTTTGAGAATGTTCAGTAGGGAGGGCTACCTGGCTACCCCTTCAAGGCATGAGCTATCTTAAGAACAAATGGGGAGACTGGTATTTGTGGGTAGTAGAGACCTGAGGGCTGAAACTTGGTTCTTTTGGCAGTAGCCAAATATGGAGGGTCTTAGCACCTCAGACCTGAGGTCACTGGTTCGAGAATAAGCGAGCACTTTCCTCCATGTCTGTATCCCAGCTCCAAGCAAGCTTTAGTTCATAGGCCACCAGGTCACTACTATCCACCAGGGTTGACTTTTAAAGTTATTATTACTTAAAAATAAATCTCAAACTTTATCAGGCAGAGTCAGAACCTCAGTCTCCTGGAACTCATAGCGCCGTTGTTTAGATAAGTTTAAATGAGCTGTGATTAAGCTAATTTTGAGGTAATTAACTTGGGGAAGGAATCCTTCACTTCTTAAAATTCTAAGTGACTATTCACTGTAAGAGGAGCATCCACAGAGCAGCCGCGCGGCTTTCAGGAGTCCCGCTTAATTAAAACATAAGGAACTCAGCCACAGAGCAAGAGTTTAACGTCATTAATGAAAAATGAATATTCTTTATCTAATTACACAGCACAATTAATTGGAGTCTCCAACCACAGAGGCGGGGGAGGGCAGGGGAAGCCATGAGAAAGCCGTCTCCTGCTCCCATAGACCTCAGGAAGGCTTAAGCCTGCCTAGGCCCTTTGAGGTTTCCTGGAAGGTCAGGGCCTCCCTGGTGCTGAATAGCTGTGCACAGAGCAACTACATTGTCTTTGCCAGCTCCCTGTCACCTGTGGGTACCTGGGGTCTCTTTGGTGGCAGTTGAAGCCTATGTCAGCCCGCCTTACCTCCTGTATTCATCTGTAGATTCAACAACTTTATTGAGTACTCTCGTTCAAGATGGGATAAAGTTTTAAGGAAGCATGTGGGTTTGAATCCTTACTCTGAGTCTGCTAGATGTGGGTAGACTGTCCGTGTCTTCATTGTCTCATCTGTAAAATGGGACCCACAAGAGCCCTGTCACTATATGAAGGTTTACGTGGATGAATGAATATTCAAAAGGCACTCGTGACAGTGCCAGGCATATAGGAAGGGTTGGTAATAAGATTTGCTATGTAAATAAATACAAGCCAGGGTGAAGGCATCGATGGAGAACAAGAGGCAAGAGGGTGCATTCTCCAGGACGGCTGGTTTCAGACAGTGTTCTGAGTGGAGGGTGGACACAGGACATGGCTGCTTCTGTGTCCTCCTCCCTCCCCGCCCTGACCGCCCCCCCCCCCAGCATCACTGTTGCTCTGAGTGCTGTTGACTTAGCTTTCTTTTTGACCTTCCTTCTGGGGGCTTCCTGAGTCAGCACTCACAGTAGTTACTTTTTCACTGTTGGGAATAATACCGGACAAGAGGCAGTTTAAGGACCCCTGGGACGGCTCGTGGGTGAAGGCGCTTCTGCCGATCCCTGGGACCCAGACGGCAGAAGGAGAGAACTGACTCTCGAAAGTTGTCCAGCGGCAACCTGGTACTGGCACTGTGTGCACTCATACTGCCCCTCCCCCACGTACCCCCCCACCCCCCCACTAAATAAAATGTAATAGAAATGTTTAAAGAAACAATTGAAGAAAGGAAGGAAGGCTCAGCTGGAGCTGCAGGTTGACTGGTCACATTGTATCCAAAGTCTCAATAGAGACAGACCACTTGGAACAGGGATATAAGACCTCAAGGTCCTGCCCCAGTGATTAGCTCCCTCCTAAAGGTCCCCACCCTCCCCAAACACTGCCACCAGCTAGGAGCCAAGCATTGAACCACGTGAGCCCAAAGTGGTCATTTGACAGTCAAAACCACAACGGCACTTATTCTTCTGTGTTTTCATCACGGCTCTCCAGTCAATCCAATTTTTACCCCAGGCAGGCAGCTCATCAGCTTTCTGTTGCTGTAATGAAGTACCCAAAAGACACAGTTTCAGAGGAGGAAAGATTTATTTAGGCTTATGGGTTCAGAGGGTCCATGGCTGCCCTCATTACGTAGGCCTGTGGTGGGGCAGAGCAGCATAACAGCTGGAGTGTTGCAGATATTGTTTACAGTGTGAGAAGAGGTGTCGTTGTGATTGGTTTAAAAAAGAGCTGAATGGCCAAGAGCTAGACAGGGGAGAATAGGCAGGACTTCCAGGGAAGGAGAGGAACTCGGGTTGAATCTCAAGAGACACCAGCGAAACGCAAGTTGGACGTACAGAACCAGAGAGAGGTAAAAGCCAAGTGGTAGAACATAGATTAATAGAAACAGGTTAATTTAAGTTATAAGAACTAGTTGGGAACAAGCTAAGCTAAAGGCCAAACTTTCATAACTAATAATTAGTCTTCATGTCATTATTGAGGAGCTGGTGGTCCCAAAAAGGGTCCGACAAGAAAGCTTACCACACTGGAGTGTGGGGATGAGGAAGGTGGCCAAAGAGAGCTAAGTAAATAGAGATACACACACACAGATAGACAAACACACACACTGAGTCTGGGGACAAATTATTCCCTCAAGGCCACACCCTCAAAGACATACTCCTTTTACCTAGATCCTACTACCTCCTACATTCCTACCACCACCCTCCCCAGATCATAAGATTATGAACCCATCATCTATTGATGATGTCAGAGTCCTCAGGATCCTGCTACCCCTCTACAGCCTTACTTCTAAACACTGCTGTACCGGGGGTGGGGGTGGGTGGGTGCTGCACCTTTAACATGCAAGCAACTCTTTAACATATGGGGAACATTTCAGATTCATGGCAAGGTGTCCTGGAGATGATTTGCCCAATCTATTTTATGATGACAAGCCTGAGGTCCAGGAGGCTGTAAGGTGGCTGCTTGGTAGGAGGGAAGCCTGGATTTCTGGGTCTAGCTTCAGTTCTTGCTCTCCTGGCTGGTCAGTATCTCATTCCTCTCAGTCTGCCGGGCTGTCAGCTCTTCCCCTGAGCCCTGTAGTTTGAGAGTTTCTTTGACATGTGCTGAGGAATCTGCCTTCCTTGATTCCTTTTTTTTTTTCTGGCCTGATTTTGGGAGATGGTAGTCTGGGAATCAAACAAGGGTCTTGGGTACCACTAATTCAGTTTCTAGTCTGACTTGAGGTGTTTTTCAGGAAGTTCCTCCTCCTCCTCCTCCTCCTCCTCCTCCTCCTCCTCCTCCTCTTTACCCCCTCTTTCTCTCATCTGTATAGAGCTAGGCGCAGAGAAAATCACTAAAGTCTAAAGACCAAGTAGGCTCCACCTCACGCTGGGCAGATGTGTTCAACCTTGTATCCTTTCTCTCCATCACCAGATCCTCTGGCTTAGCCAGTTCTGAAGAGGACCAAGGCTTGGGTTTGTGGCCCCAGGCCACATCTCAGCCCAGGCTTAGCATCCAATATGGGAGGCTAGTCACTAGGAAGTCATCCTTCACCAGACAGGTGGCCTTCTAAGCGTGCACTCTGGCTGTCCTGGAAGGACCCTCCACACCTGCTGGAGCTTTGCTGTGTTGCCCTCACTGGCTGCGGATGAGGCTGTGCCTTTGGTGTGGGGGCTGTGAAGAGGGGTGGGAGGCTTCCGGCTGGGCTACACCGATCACACTCCACAAACTGTTTCCACTTAATCTCTAAAGCGGTTTGACTTTGGCTTGGGGGAAGATAAAGAAGTGGCCCTGGGGAGGGGCCAGGCGCCTTGCGTGTGTAGGCAGAGACTAGCAGGCATAGAACAGATGAGAGCTCCTGAGAAGTGGCAGATGGAAGCGTGCTGCTGGCTGTCCCCAGGAATCCACCGCGACGGCAGGGTAATTTGGGATGTCCTCGGCATCCTGCAAAGTCCTTGGATTTTGGGGGACACCAGAACCTTCCCAAGGAACCTTGTCTCAGAGGGTCCCAGAGAGGACCCGGGGCTAAGAGTGTGCACCACGGGTGGCCATGCATACAAACGTCTGCTTTGCAGAGTAGGTGTCAGCTAAGGACACTGTCGTGGTTCCTGATTTCTCTCCTGAGTCTGGGTGCCTTCTGGGTTTCACTGTTTATGCAGATCTCTGTATCGACCTTAAAGCCATGGTCATTGTCTTGCAGCGAAAGACATCATTTTAGCAGCAAGGACAGAGTTCACGATGGGAGTCTTTGCCCCCTGTTCTAGGAGAACCGGGCTCTTCCGAAGCAGCTGCAAAGAGGCTGGGCAGAGACAGCCTCTCCGCTCCCTGTCAGGCCCAGCAGCTCCTTAATTTGATGTTTCTTAAGATAGCGGGAAGCTCCTCAGTGCCTTCGCACCAGCTCCGGTTTGTGTGAAATCAAACCGACTGCTCGAGTCCTCCTTTCAATCACCTGTCTGAATGGCTTGATTTAACTCTCCAGTCAGGACGATGGGCTTCAGTCACCGTTCATCCAAAAAAAGTGTGGGATGGGGGAGAGGGACATTCTTCCTCGAAAGCACTTTGCATGTTATTAAATAATAGCAACACTCCCCAGCTCACTGGGAGCCCTGGGGTGTGCTCTGAGAAGAGGCACCCAACCCATCACAAAGCTGTGATTTATCTTGGCAGTTTCTTTCAGATCCGCTTTGTAGCCCTGTTAGCAGAAGGACAAGTGACTCTTGACTTTGCAGGTGGCGGGAGAAGGTGCTGGAGGCAGCTGGGGGAATGCTGGTCAGACCTGATGGCGGTGCTCTAGACTGCCTGTGGGATGTTCCTCAGGGGAGCCACAGCTCTGGCCTTGGGTCTGAATGCTGGCACTGCAGATGTCTGGCTGTGGTGGCCCACGCCAAATCACGTGGCCTGCTGAGCCTCAGTTTTCTGCATTGTCCAGTGGGGAGAAGGACGGCAACCTGGTGAGACTGAGCGAGACAGAGATCGGTGTGGAAAGTGAGTCACAGAACACCTTGTACGAAGGCACTCTGGAATGTCTGGTAGGTGACCCGCGGCTCATTATCCTACTAAAGCACATACCCTGGAGGGGAGACTTAAGATGCTAATGAGATGTGCAGGTGATGTACAGAGCTGTGTGTAGAGCTACATGGAGCAAAGCATGCAGGGAAGCCTACACTACGCAAATGATACAAAAAGCCCGTACTGTGCAAATGAGCCCCAAAGCCCTAGCAGGACCGGAAGCATCTCCCTCCTCTTACTGATCCATAGAGAAGTGAGCAAGCCTCTGCTATGCCTCTCTGCCATGATGGGCTGCATCTCCTCAAAACCCACTCTGCACCCCATTGCTGACTCCATGGATTCTGTCAGAATCCCATCTACAGACCTGACGTGGAGGAGGAGGCTGGTTTCTGCAACTTTGTATGCTTAGTGCTGACACAACACCCAAATGAGGACATGGGGGGGTGGCTGGAACACGGCTGGCATCTGCTCACTGCTTCCAGGGTCTCTGTGGTGGAAGGCTGTGGAGGGGAACACACCATCAGACACAGGCTGCCACGCCCTCCTTACTGTCTCTTGCAGCCATATCAGCTATCAAAGGGTTGAAGTCCAGCAATCAAAAGCCCCCTTTTGGTTCACCTAATTAACCTGTCCAATCAAAATTCAACAGCTCATCCTAACACAGGGTTTTCCTTTTCCCTTTATAAGCTGCCATTTACCTATGGGCCACATCTCTCCTCTCTACCCTTGTCCCTCTGGGGCAAATACCCCTGCCCCCTCTCCCTTGCTCCCTTCCCCTTCTCCCTCGTCCTCTACCTCCTGTCTTTGTCTCATATTCCCTGCCCCTTGTCTCTCTGGGGCAAATAAATCTCCTTTGTGCTGAGAACTTGGTCTTGGGCCAGTCCCCATTGCTTTCAACAACAACAACAATAAGAACAAAACAACCCAAACCAGCCTTTGTATTGTGACATAGAAGCCCCGATCCTTTGTACTGTGTGGCCATTCCAGGGACGTTCTCCCTCTGCTCCAGCTCACTGCCTCCCTTGGAAATACTCTTTCTTAATAGATTTCCTCGCTTTGCTTGCTACTATCCATGTGTCTCTGTCCAGTTTCCTGTGCTAGGACCTAAGGATCCAGCAGCCCTCTGGAGGTGTCCACTGAGCCTGCGACATCGGATTGCTGTGAGAATATGAGGGAAGCCACATTGCAGTCGCCAGCTCCTGACAGGCTCAGCTGACTGACTTTCACTTGTGGAAGGTTGTGGGTACATTATCATTTCTGCGTATTGAGTGCCTGGTGCAGATAAGGTATTTACTCATTTGAATAAATGAAACTTTTATGAAAATGAAATTTATATATAGCCTTGAAATTTTACTTCCTCTAGCTCTACCTGGGACTTGCGAGCTTGAAAAACTGCACATTGTGACATGGGACCCTTATGCCTGGTCCAGGGCCAGGGCCAGTAAAGAACAACCCACAAGCCTAGCCTGCCTGCTTTGATGAATAATGTTGTGGCCACGCCCAAACATTTGCATATGCATATTGTCTGTAGCTGTTCCACCCCCTCCCTATATCTGGAGCCTCGCTGAGAGACTCCCGCAGAACAAGGCTGCAAATCATGACATATTTGTTACCTTATGCCTTTACAGAAAAAAAGATGGCTCAGTGGTTAACAGCACTCTCTACTCTTGCAGGGGACCCAGGTTTAGTTCCTAATACTCCCATCCAGTGACTCACAAAGGCTTGCAATTCCAGCTCCAGGGAATCTTACGCCCTCTTCTGGACTCTGCAGACACTTGCACTCCCTTTAGTGAAAAAAGATGGCTGACTTCTGGCTTAGGCCAGTGGTGTTTAGACTTTTGCCTGAATTACAATTATCTAAAGGATGTTAAATTCAGGTCGCTGAGCCCCATAGTGGAAAAGCCTCATTGAACCCAGGCTGTGCCAGGCCCCAGGGCTGGATGTTTCTAGCAAGTTCCTGGGTGACAGGGATGCTGCTGCTTTTTTGCTTTGTTTGTTTTTGGACAGGGTTTCATGTAGCCGAGGCTGACCTTGAACTCCTGATCCTATCTTCATTTTTTCCTCCAGTGCTGGGATTGTTGGTGTGTGCCACCACAGCCAGCTGAGAGCTGTGGTTCTGTGAAGCCCACTTTGAGATTCACTGGTTTGTGCTATTTCGTATGTCTACAGTGATTTCTTCTTACCTGCTCTGGCCGAAGGGCGAATTCCGCCCTTCTTGAAAGGTCAGTACAAAGGAGCCTCCAGGACACTATAAGAACTGGGTGCCTATGAACCAGACAACGGAACATACTGGGGATTCAACCCTGGTAAACAAAATGGCTAGACTGGCCATGTGTGACCCACTGTCTAGCTGGAGTATGGACAAGAGTAGAACTGTGGGGAAAACAGAGTGAACAGCGAACACACAGACGTAAATAAATACCACGTATTCCCATCTTGGTGGAAAGGTGGCAATGGACTCCGGCTGGAGGTTCTGAAATGCCTCTCAAAGGAAGTGACATTTAAGTTGAAATCAGAGGGTGAGAGGAGGCTACCCTGAAGAGAACACGGGAGATTCTTCTAGGCAGGTACCCTGGGGAGGGAAGGTGCTTACAGCATATCAAGAGGGGAAAGCCAATGTGATTGGCGCAAAGAGAGGGGGTCTGGAGCTGTAGGGGAGGGAGGCATAGAAGATGGTGTTCTTCAGCCTCGGCTACCTTCGTCTTAGTGTCACTGTGAGCTGAGTGGCCTTCCCACCTCTTGTTATTGGCCTTAGCCAGGTGTCTTAGTAGCCATCACAGCAGGTGATTATAGTTTCAAGCCTAGACCTTCAGAGTATCCTTATATCCCTGCTTGCTCCTTTGAGTCATGCAAGGAAAACACATTGAGACTGACCTGTTAGTTCTAAGGCATGGGGGACAGTCACTGAGGCCACATCAGATTACATCATCTGGCCAAGCTGATATGAGAACACATGGGCGAACATTCTTTTTTTTTTTTTTTTTTTTTTTTTTTTTTTTTTTTTTTTTTGGTTTTTCGAGACAGGGTTTCTCTGTGTAGCTTTGCGCCTTTCCTGGGACTCACTTGGTAGCCCAGGCTGGCCTCGAACTCACAGAGATCCGCCTGGCTCTGCCTCCCGAGTGCTGGGATTAAAGGCGTGCGCCACCACCGCCCGGCGGGCAAACATTCTTATTGCTGTTGGCCCACTGAGTTTGGGGGCAGTTTGTTCCACAGCAGTAGCTGACTCAGACGACTGTGTTAAGAACTCTGAATTTGATTTTAAGTATAATTGGATGCCATGAAGAGGGTTCACTTAGAAGATATAGAGGTTGTCGGTGATCTCCCTGGCTGCTGTGAGGAGAGGGAGGGGTGTGGAAAAAGTGGGAGACCCTTCTGGGCTGTGTGCACCCATGGTGAGCATATGCATAGAGCAATGGCATCACTTGTTACAAGTGGAATGGACTCACCCTTCCCCAGGCACCCAGCATCCTCTTTACACCCTCCTGACCTTGATGTGGCGGTGTGTTAGTCATCCTTATCCCTTTATCCACTAGATGACAGGATTTCCACTGTCAGGGACCTGCCCTGACCCTTCTCTGTGTCCCCTGGGTCTCTGTACTCTGTGTCCAGCCAGCCTAGCACAGTGGCTTACCACTGCCCTGAAGTGGATTAATCCAGAAGCCCCTTTCATGGCTGCTGGGAGCTGGATTTTCACATCAGCAGTCACTAACAGACCCATACTCTGAAGCAACTTTTGCCAGCTCTTGGGCTGGCTTCAGAGCCTTATCAGCAAACAGGGATCACAGGAGAGGTTCTCCTGTAGCCCCAGTGTGCTGTCGGGGAGGCCATGGAGTCACTTGTGTGCCAAGGTGCTGAGGTGACTCTTAAAGCAAGGCCCGAGGATCTGGGCAAGGACTGTAGCCAGACATACTTACAAACCTTCCACAGAAATGAGAGAGGTGACCTGTCGCTCCCACCAGGTGACACCCGCTCTGTGCAGATGATTCCTAACACATTTCCCTTCAACATCTCTGGGGAGAAGAAAATCCGTCTATATGTACACAGTCCAATTTAAATCAGGAAATTGATATGTTTGGGTTAATTTTGTCCGCCCTGGTGCTCACGGTATTTACCCGTGAGACTCGGGATGTATAACCAAAACATTTCATAAACGAATACTAGGATTCTGTCTCAGAGGAGCAGGCCCTGAACAGGGCTAGGCTCTGGTTTCTTCAGGTTCTGGAAATGTCACAGAAAAACAAAAGGGCCGATGGGAAGCAGTCCTCACTAGCCTCCAGGTAGCGGCCTGTTTCAGGAAACAAACAAACCAATTCACTAGTGCCGCCTGGTACAGCACAACTGGTTGGACTCCGAATCTGCATGGGCTAGGAGGTGCCAGGTGGCAAAGAGCACCAATGCAGTGCCCGACTCAATAGCCCTTTCCTCTCATTCATTAAAAAAGTTACATTTATTTATTCATTGTGCGTTGGAATGGGGGCTAGTGTGCCATGACGTGTGTGTGGCAGCCAGAGGACAAGTCTTGGGGGTCTGTTCTCTCCTTCCATCATGTGGGTCCCAGGGATTGAACTCAGATCATCAGGCTTGGTTGCAAGCACCTTTACCCACTGAACCATCTCATCAGGCCTCTCAGTCCTTCCTTTTTACATATATATTTCTTGGGGGTGATTGATAAAGAGTCTCATGTATCCCAGGATGGCTTTGAACTCCTGATCCTTCTACATCTACTTCCCAAGTCCTGGGATTATACGTGTATGCCACCACACCCAGCTTCATTTTATACTAATGTATATTAATTATACAAAATAGTAGGCCTTGGTTGTATTTTCATACATATATGCAATGTACTTTGATCACCTCTTCCATTAATACCTCTTGTTCCTCCTCACTGCTGCTGCTGGTCCCCTTCTAGTCCCCCCAATAACCTCCCTTCTATTTTCATATCTTAAAAAAACTATACCCAGGAAAACAAGAAAAAATGCAATATTTGTCTTTCTGGGCCTGGCTTGTTTCAATATCATGATGATCTCTGATTCCATTCTTTTTTTTTTCCCCTTACCAATGACACAATTTTGCTCTTCATTATGGCTGAGTAAAACTCCATTGGGAGCATCTACCACACTTTCTTCATCCACTCATCTGTTGATGGGCAGCTACTTGATCAACAGTCTGAAGAATGGTAATGTGGTAAAATCATGTTTAGAGCAATTAGTGGGTCCAAGTCAGCTTCTCTGGCTGGGTTGACTGTAGGCTGTGTTTCCCACAGTGTGCCTTGATCTGTCTGTGGAGTCTGGCAGCTTGTGGTAAGAGCGCACTGTAATCTGTTTTACCCTGAGGTCTGATTTGCATCGTAGGCTCTGATGAGTTTTAACACAGGTACTCCGAGGAACCAACACTTTAATCAATATCCACTGCAGTACTGCTATGTGTGTGTGTGTGTTGAGACAAGACCTCATGTAACACAGGCTGACCTTGAACTTGATGTGTGGCTAAAGATGATATTGAACTTCTGATTTTCCCATCTCTGCTTCTCAAGGGCTGGAATTATAGATGTGCACCACTGTGCCTGGGTTATGTGGTGCTTGGGGCTGAACCTAGGATTTTGGGCATTCTACAAACTGAGCCACATCCACGGTTTACAATAATATATTTGCTTAACCTCATACACCCAAAATATTATCGCTTAAATAGGTAATCAATATAAAATTTGCCAATGTGATCTTTAGTTATCAAGAGGCTCTGAAAACAGGCTTGCGTTTTATAGTTAAAGCCACATTTTGATTTAGGCCAGCCATAGATGAACAGCTAGCTACTTGTGGCTTGATGCTCTGGTGTAGAACACAGCAGCAGAACCTCATCACTGGGTTCAGAAAGCACCTTCTGCTCGCTCCTGTGCAGTCAATCTCCATGTACCCAGATTCAGCCGTGTTCTGACTCCTGTTCCTACAGGTCCACTTTGCCTCTCGAGAGCTTCCCATGAAGGAACTGAAACTATGTACATGTTCCTCTTACGATTCTTCGATTCTTTTAATACATGAAATGTCTTCGAGTCCTGTCTGCATGTTATTGCTTTGTGCCTTTGTGTGCATGTGTATGTGTGCCCACATGAATGTGGAGGTCAGAGGTTAATGTCACATACCTTTCTCAGTCACTCTCCACCTTCGTTTTTGAGATAGGGTCTCTCACTAATTAGTCCAGGCTTGGTTGGCTGGCCATAGCAATGGGGATCCATCTGCTTGTCCCCACTGCCTCCCTAGTACTCGGTTTAAAGACTCACTACAGTGCCTGGCTTTTGAGTGGCTGCTGAGGATCCAAGCTCAGGTTCCTGTGCTTGCATGGCCAGCACTTTGTGGACTGAGCCATTTCCTCATCCCCCCTCCCGCTGTTCCTTCTCTTTAGTGAGTGTGTTGCACGTGGAGACTGTGTGTGCTTGTTTTCAAGATTCAGTGTAATGTGGTAAGGGGCACGAAGACACAATACCCCCATGCCCTAAAAGGACAAAGGCAGAAAGATGACCAGAATTCAAAAAGATGACAGATGGTCTAGGCTCTTGTCCTGGGAAACGGAACACTTGGGTTGGACAGAACGGGCTTGAGTACTGATGGAGAAGGGAGACAGGGGAGTATCCCAAGTGATGATAGACCCAGAACAAAAATCTGCAAGGTGCCGGCAGCAAGAGAACAGGTTTATGGAATGACAACCTAGCAAGATGAGGGCAGTCTAGAGCTGACTTGGAGGGTTGTCAATGCTACCATCAAAGAACCTTCTAGAAGTATGACCAGGTGCAGGTCACAACCATAGGTCAGAAAAGATCTTCCTGGAAGAAGAGACACTTGGTTTAGGTCTCAAAGGACAATCTTCCCTCCTGTGTCCCCAGTACCCCTAGTTGGCCTCTTTGCTTTATCTTGAGACTATCCTCATCTCTTCCTGCTTCAAGTACCTCCCAGGAAGAAGATCCTCTCCTGGCCTTCCTACCCACAACATGGCTTCCCTCTGGGGTTAATCACCACCCTTGTACTTCTTACCAAGCACCTAGAGTTTCCCATGTCATACACCAGCCCAGCCTGTCTCCTGTGGAGAAGCGTGCCAGCCTTGGTTGCCACACCTGTCCCACTGCTAGAGCTCTGGGCCTGGGTCACATTAGTCCGGAGCTGTATCCAATGTCCCAGATCCTGGCCATGGAAGGAAAGAGGACCCTGGGGTCTGCCTGGCCTGGGAACTACTCACCATGGCATCTGTGTGTATCACAGCCAGGGCAACTTGGGAAAGAGGCTTGGGCCACACCGTGAAATGTGTTCAAGTGCTCCTTTGGTGGACTGGGCTGAACTGGAGCCTGAGTACACGGGGTTTCGCCTCTCTACCAGTGTGGCAGGGACTATAACAGCCACCTCTTCCAGCAATTAGGAAATTAGCCTCGACTCGTGCTATGGAACAACTGATGGAGCTCCAGTCTGGACCCTAGGTGTTCTGGCTACAACCCCAGGGTTCATCCCACAACCCCAACTTCCTGGGAATGTCCTCTCCAAGACTTACCTCCTCAGAGGTAACTGATTTCTTTAAGCTCAAGAGGAAGAAAA